TCACCTAGTCCATGGAGAAAACCGAGCCATATACAGATACTGGCGCACCGACAACGCGTCAGCAGAGATCAAAGGACCGCATGGGGGTGAGGGTGATACCCCGTGTCCAGGCACAGTCGTGGTACAACCGATATGCTCCTCGGCGGGGTCCAGCGGAAAGGCGTAATCACCGAGCGCAAGTGCACCAAGGCAGCCAACAGTGTCACCCAGTGGGTAGGTCACCTCTCCAGTTACGAAACCGACCCAAGCAGCGGTACGATCCAGGTAAGGCAGGTGCAAGCAAAGCATCCGATCCCCGACCCGTCAACCGAGTCCGTGGAGAGCCGTGCGAACAAGGCCAACCGAGTCAGGAGGCAGGCGCTTTGTTGCCGATGAATACGAGGATTTATTTACCTAACTATCCGGGATGGTATATAACACTTCGACCCGAACTATTCATTGAATAGTTCGGGTCGAAGTGTTATATACCATCCCGGATAGTTAGGTAAATAAAAATTGGTCCTAAAAAAACCCCGGGGGCGCAGACCAATGTCCCAAAGTCCAACCAATAGTCGGAGAAGGTAGGAGTCCCTTGGTATAGGGGCCTCCTGGGAACCCTCCCCCTTTTTTTCGCGCCCATGCGCCTAAGAATACATAGTCCAGGAGGGCCTTCCCATTTCAAGCGCCCTGTGCTGCATAGGTTTAAAAGCGCCGTTCCTCCTAGGTAAGAGGAGCAGCTAAACCGCTGGGCCAGAGGGGGGGGGTTTCAGGCACCCTATTGGAAATAACAAGGTCGGGCCCAAGGCATTCATGGTAGTTGGTCTCAGTTAGCCAGTAAAATCAACAGGGATCTCCTAATATTCACTTTTCAAAGCCCTTCCTTTTTACTCCTTTCCTCAAAAACTTTTTTCAAAAAGAACTTGAGTCTAAGTATGTGTAAGTGTAGGTGTAAATGTGTGTGTGCGTGTGTGTTTGTGTGTGTATGTGTGTGTGTGTGTGTGGGGGGGGGGAGGTCGTGGGCATGTGTGTGATGATGCTATGTTACTAGCTGAACTTGCTGAACGTGCGTGCTCCTTCAAACATGAGCGTTCAATCCCCCCCTACACGCGTTCAAACGCGCCACGTGGCAGAGGGCGGAAAAAAACCGAACGCGCTCCCCCTACCGGCATGCGAGCATCCTACACCATCCGAAGGCATGAGGGATTCACAAAAAAGTAAAAAAAAAGAAAAGATCAAATAACCCGTCCCCCCAAGCTGTGCACTGAAAAAAACCTCGACTATGCCAGACTCTTTTGTTGGCCTATTACCGACTCATTAGGAGGTTGAGCCACGACAGTCTTCCGAGGATCCATTCGTGCCGTTGATAACCCTGATTGAGCGAGCGGGCGCACACACTCACACGCCCCCCCCTTACAAGTGCACGTACACAGACACACACACACACACACACACACACACACACAC